GACTCAAACCATCTCATATGTGCTTACCAAGTGCATAATCCTAAATGAATGTGTATAATCAAATTACCACACAGTAACCCTAGGGCTATGTAATATTCCTGCAGAGTAATTCTGTGCACATTGCACAGTGGGGGTTAATAGGGGCACAGCAGTTCATTTTTGTCTCAGCGCCCTGAACCAAGTTAATCTGACCATGTCTTTGTGATCAAGCTCGGACATATTCTGAAGTTCCCTTTTGAACGCTGTCCCCGTACTTATGTTTTGTATCTCATTTCCCTTTGTCACATAACTTTGGTTATATGCAAAACCTCCCCTTATATTGCTCAAACATGTATACTTTTATTACTGTAAACCTACGGAATGTTCCACATAAAGGGACAAAGCAACCTCAACCATGCTGTCCGCGAGGGCCAAATGTTCATGTAAACACGCTGCCTCTCACCTTTTGATGGAGTGCCACTTCCTGCTGTAAAACCCAGTGGGTGCAAACATAGGAAGAAAAACACACACTTTCATTGTCTTCTAAGAGCTTTTATTGTTGGTTTAACAAGTGATGTCTGAGGCCTGAAAAGGGAGAACATATGGTCAGTATAGAAATGTAACTTTGGTGTATTTGTGCATGAATTAAACACATTAGTGCTGCTTACCAGATCATCATTTCCACCAACTTCAAGCATCTTCCATGTTGTAACTGAAAAACAGGAAATGGATCAGTCTTAATAAATAATTCAAAACTCTCCTCATTACTAAATCATTGTCCTGCTGTCATATGGAACTGCAGCCGCTACTGGCTCTCGGGCTGTTTCCAGTGAGTGTTGTAATGAGGTTCATTCATGGGTGTTTTCAACGCGACCTTCCACAGTTCATACGGGTGAGGTGGGTGATTTGAGGACAGACAGCAACATTTTTTCTTACCATCACTGGCCAAAGCATCCCTCGACACAAGGCCCATCACGTGGCGAGCAGATTTCGGTTGAACACATGAAGTAGATCTGAGAGCAAAAAGTAGAGCAGGATTTGATCTAGTGTCCAGTCTTGAGAGTGTGCAGTGTACTATGACAAACAGCTGTTGCCAATTGAGATTTGGCCAGAATTTGCAGTTTACAAAATGGCCTCTCCACATATCCTTGTAATGAATGCTGACTTAAGAGATTCAGAGATACAGCTGTCAGTGGTTTCATTTTCCACAGACTTTATATGCCCCTACTAAATAAACAAAACAACCTGTGTGAACTTGTACTGAGAGAATAATCAGATAACTTTACCGATTTACATGTACTTTTTTAGAAAATAAAGAAGGCCCAATGCCAACTGCCACTCTCAGATAAGACCATTGATTCCCAGGGGGGAAATTCACAGGCACTCAAGGCCAACAGCTGCACGTTTGCAATGTTCTTCCTTGCTACAACACATAAAAACTGTAGTGGAAGCATGCTTAAAGCAACAGTGAAACATTTTCCCATTAAATAGGAAGCCAGAGCCAACAGCTGATTAGCTAAGCTTAGCATTAAGTGTGGAAACCGCTAGCCTGGCTCTGTCCAAAGTCCTACCAGCACTTCATAACCTCTGTAAACCAAAACTTGTCATTTTTACACTTTGGTTTTTGTATTGATTAAGCAAACATGATATAACGTATTAACTGGTGAGCTTTAGAGGTGCTGGTAGGCAGGCTTTTTACCTTTGGATGGAGCCAGGCAAGCAGTTTCCCCCCAGTTTCCTGTCTTAATGCTAAGATAAACTAACTGTAGCTGAAGCTACAGCAAGCAGACAAATCCAATCCTTTCATCTAACACTCAGCAAGAAAGCGTATTTCCCAAAATGTTCAGTTATTTGTTTTAATATTGCCATAAATAATTTTAAATGCCATGTCACTAAGAAGGAAATTTATACTACTGTAAAATGTCTAAAATCATGAACTCAAGGGTTAGCTCATCCTTACCTCTTCGTCTGGGTCCTTGAACTCACCATCAGGAAGGAACTGAAAGGTGCTGATGGTGAAGCGGCGGGTCTGAGCCTGCGGAGAGGGCGGTCGAGGATCAAACAGCACAGCCTGCTGCAGGGCTGGGTCCAAGGGGTTGGGACACCTAGGGAATAACATTAAATTAGTCAGCCAATTACACAACAGGAAAACAGGTATCAAACATATATTTCCCCTCATTTTCCCTGGTATGTCCTCTCAATGAATCATATTTATGTTGACAATTTTTTTTTCCCCATTTACGTTTTCTTCACACAGAAGATGTTTCTACGTACCCGTTGTAAAGCAGCAGCCACACAGCTTTTCCTGAGCGGGGGTAAGCCACACAGAAGTGCACCAGCAGCACCAAACTGGGATCCGGGGTGTTGAGCAGCCGTACTTCCAGGTAGAGGGGTTTACCCAGCAGTATCTGCAGGGGCTGGTGATACTGAGGGTAGTAGCTGCTGTACTGGGCGTCTAGGATAAGAGGCGATGGATTGGAATAGAAGGAGTTTATTTCTTACGAGTTCTCCCACAGCTGATCGGGATATGTCTGATGCATTCACATGATGCTAAAATACTGGATATTATTAGATTTGATATTCGATTATCATCAGTTTCCATCACTCTTCACTGGCAAAAACTTCAACCCAGAGACAAAACAGAACTAAATTATAATTTCTTAATTATGAAAGTTTTTTAGTATTGAAATTTAGACCATCTACCTTTGGAAATCCTGAGCTGGACTCCGAACACCCCCTGTGTCTGAACTGCAGGTCCTAGAGTGGGACTTTTAACCATGTAGCTCACACTCAGAACAGGGCTAGGCAGATACCTGCACTCCACCAACAACCTGAGAATGAGATAGGAGACATAGTGATGGAACACCATGTACACTATGAATTTGTGCTGATTTTGGAAACTATGATGAGTTTGTTTTTTGGGCATTTTTGCCTTTATTTGACGGTTGAATTGGGATGACTTGCAATAACGGCTGAAATTAAACCAGGAACATTGTGATGAGATGGTACACCCCGCTCTACTGTTTGTATACTTTTTGCAAAGGTACTCAATGTCAGATGGGTTAAGTTATAATATGTATGACTAATTGCGTTTTCTAATGAGTATAAAAGAGGGATGTGGAAACTCTACTAAAACCTCGTGTGTAACTTTAGAGCTCAACTAACTTAATAATAGATAAACTAATTAGTAAATCCCCCTATTCAGTGTTTGGTCAAAATGAAAACCTTAATCCTTTGAACGGTAACCTTCATTCCCGATAATAAAAAAAAAAACAACACGCTCTGACCTCACAGGCGAATCCCTTGTTATGGTGCCATAGTTGAGACTGATTGCCTGAACCTTGTTGATAACCTCCACGATGTAGATCATGGTTTTCCCCACCATCTGTGACAACAGAATCAGACATGCAATTTAGTATATAAACACTAGTAAATACTAAATGGTCCAGGAACTGTGGTTGACTGGGATAGGTCAGTTAGGGCAGTTGGGCTACACAGGAAGTACTTGCAGTTTATCAGTTCATTGTTTATTTAGGTCTTTTGATGGGGTTTGTAGAAAATAAAATCATGTCCTTTAAATAAACACTCCATTAACTTTCACTCCAGAAACTCAGGGTCTCAACTTTTCCATATTTTGGGAAATATTTTCATTCGTTAAAGCTTACAACTCTGCGTGTCCCACATCCATCCATCGGGATCTTGAACAAGGCGTAGTCTGAAGTCACTCTCAGAGGTTTGCAGGTGGAGTTACCAGCAGTGACAAGCAGGGCAGGGGAAAGAGGGGGGTCCGTGAGGGAGGCGGGCACGGAGAAGACAAAGTGGCGGTCAATAGTGCACTCTGGAGGAGGATACAAACAAACATACACATACAGAGATACACATGCACAGTTATGTGAAGGTCAGATGAACAAAAGGTCAGAAATCTCAGGAGGCAATTGATAATGAGACCCAAGGTATCTTATACCCTTTTCATATTCTGTGTCACTGCCAGCTTGAATCATGCTATGCTGGCCCTGAATATGCCTCCTCACACATCCAGCAGCTGTAGCGCTTACATTTCCGTACCCAAAACAGCTCAACTGTACTCAGCTAAGTGGCGTGAAAATGCCAGTGGGGGATACAAACTGCAGCTCACCATCTATGGGGTAGTAGCAGGCAGGGGGCTGCTTGCTGAAGCAGCAGCCCATGGAGAGGCACTGTGGCTGGGATACAGAGCCGGGTCCGCAGGGGAGACGCTGTTCACTGGGAAGGTTGCACTCTGAGGGACAGCACGACAAATGTCAGCCGCACAGTTAAAATAACTCTGAATGGCCAGAAGAAAACACCCTTTGGCAAAATGAATAGCCTTTCAGAGGTATAAAATCCATCTACCTTGTCCGGACCCCGGGATGAGAACTGGACAGAAAAACTGAGCCTCCCGTCTTCCATTTACTGTCATGTAGACGATGGTGATGATGTACATTTGACCCTTTTAGAGAAAAATGTTTATACAACAGTTAATGGGTAAAGCAAATGGTCAATTATACAAAAGGTCATGTGCTCAGTGTGAAATCTGAGTCAATACTTGCCTGCACACTCATGTGGCAGCGGGAGTGTAACTGGAGACTCAAACGGATTTTGCCATCTTTGCCTTTTCTTGCAGAATACCCACAGTGCTTTGGGGCATCCTGGAGGTTCATATGGTTCCCTTTGATGTCTGAAAAAGCACATGTGGAAACATACAAGTTATTTTTGTGTAGACTTCAAAATGGCACAATTATAGCTCTCAGCATGGCAAAGCACAGAGTCTAAGTGTTGCCCAGCCAAAACAAAAGCTAAGCCTACCTTTTCCCAACCCCCATTCAACTGCACACCAGAGCTGCCCCCCAGAAACATGTTAAAATTCAACTCATGCAGAGCTGATGGCAACCATATGCACCTGGAACATATAGATACCACCCAGATAGACACGACCCACTCACACGACACACCACACACCACACACAACACACACACCCTTTGAACAACACATTCCGACGAGATGAGGAACCCAGAGAGCGGCGGCGGAGCGTCCACGGTCATCCCGCGCCTCGCCTGACGATTGGCGGACAGCAGAAGACTCTGATGCCCCGTTGTGGGACAACAGACGGGCTGACCTTGCTCGCGGTGGTGCTCGGGGTGGCAGGGGTCCAACTCGACTGGGTACACTGGATGCTGTAACTTGCGCGCAGGAGGTTCTCAGGGATCATTCTGATTACGGGCATTGCCAAGCATCCAGAGTCCTATAGACTGCTGGCAATGGAAACGCCTCCCAAAACCTCAGAGGTAAGGAAATGCGTGCGTGGGAGTCTACAAGACGACGGAGGAGAGATCAATAGCCCAGGATGAACCACCCACACATGTTTCCCAGGCTACTGTTTATTCAAACCAGCAGCTCTGCAAGTTGAGCCTCAAAACACACACACAAACACAGAAAGGTTCTGTAACCAGTTGGGGTTGCCACAGAACATCAAGACAAGCAACTCCACCCGCACACCTGCACCGACTCCAAAGGTGGGGGCGGGCAGGGCGCCGTGCAGCCACTCCACCCACGTGCTGCGATATAGTCCATCATGGGGAACCTACGCGCATCATGAGAAAACACTGAGCTGCCTCGACTCGGGAACAAACTGGCTTCGTGCCGGATGGTTCTATACCTGCTTAAGCAGACTGGTGTCTCCCATACCGCGAGAATCGCCTGTAACTCCGCACACGCTACCACCAGTCGACTGCACACCACCGACCAGCGTGCAGCACATCACAAAGCAAAAATGGTGATGGTACCTTGTTGTGGTTCAGATCTGTATCGGACTGGCATCAAGACATTCCTTCGTCAGTTTCTTGGTCCGCCCATTTTAATTTAACTTCATAGCTCATGTCAAGACTAATCTTAACGGCTTCTTATCCTGTATTCGGCGCCTGAGTTGACATTGGTCATTTGTTAATCGACTTTCGTCATTGACAAAATGGTACATTTTATATGGACTCGAAAACGTCCAGTCTCAGACCTTCATTGAAAGGCCCAACAAACACAGTCATATACGAAAGAGAAGATTCAAGTTATTGGACAGTGTGAGCTCCCGTACTTCTCTGTGTCCAAATCAAAAGGGTTTTCTGATTCACACACACTTTATGGCATCCAAAGAACTTTGATCGTTAATGAAGCCACTTTAACGAACACGTTACCTGCTAAACTCCAGATTTAAAAGGCTCTCCCTTTTTTTAAATATCAGTGTCAACAGTCAATCCACACTCCCATCAGATACACTACACTTACATCTCAAATAAACTCCTCTTTAAGAACAGCGGATGTTCCACTTAAAAAAAAAAAAAAGGTCGAAAAAACACACAGTTACACTAATAAAGAATGACACGTGCAAGTTGCCAGCTGACGGCAGGCATTATGGACGGACTCTCACGACCGCTGCTCGAGTTGTGGCGCCAGGCAGCGCCAGAGGCACGAACGTGACAGGATTAACCCCAGACGTCTCAGCCATCCCTGTAGCCATCGTACCCCAGAACAGTGGAAGACCCACTGCGGGAGGAACAGCCATGACTCATTCCTGGTCGTAAGGTTACGAAACCAATAATGTTGTACCACCACGTGATCTTCCCGACGCTTGAATACTGTCTTACCCAGCAAA